GGGAAAGAGCGCGCGCAACTCCCTCAGCCTCTGCTGGCGGGCAAGTCAAGGGAGTCAGACTTGGCTCCGGTAAGGAAACAAACAACGGTAAACAACTTTTTTATGATTCCCGAGAAACAAAGGACATGTTCTTTTACCTAACTCAAATCACAACTCAAATTTTTTACTATAATATATTCTCTCATAAAAATTTAAATTTAATTTTTTTAATATAATATTTTCTCTCACATACTAAACTCAAGTTTGAGAAAAAAACATAATTTAATCAAATCTAAAATGTATTTTTCTTTAAGAATATATAAGTACAATTTTTTGTATGGAAATATAACGAGATAAATCATAACTATTTTTGTTGTTGTTATTTTTAAGCACAAAAAATATTTTCACATTATATTACAATCTACCGAGTAACAAAAAGTATCCATAACCTAATATCCATACTACAATGATTGCACAGAATGTCTTATTATTTTTGAATTTAAGATAAGAGATTTGACTTTTATACGTTTTCATAAAAGGGCTGATAAAATTAAAATATGGTAAAATTTTAAATATATTATGAATTCGTATTACTTATCGTAGTGTGATTATCTCTGAATTCGTATATAGCCATGGTTAACTTATATTTACAACAACTATTGAAGGTATTACTTAATATCTTTCAAAGATATTTTTGGTGTAAATTTCATCAAAATTGCATCAAAATTGATAGATATACACGACTCTGATTAAACACCTTTCTACTATTTTCCTTTCCAATTATTTGACATTTAATTACCCCTGTTGTCGCCAACTTGTCTGACCCTGAGAAGATGCATTTACGTCACGTCTCACATGTGCCAGTTGACAATTTTCAAAAATATCTACCATTTTTTTTTTTTTTTTTTTTTTTAACAAATGATGAATTGCAAAATGCAAATTACACGTTTCCCGTCTTTCATTAATTACACATTTCCTCAAAAAAAAAAAAAAAAAAAAAAACACAATTAAACTAATCCCCAAGCTCGGACCACGCGTCAACATCTGAAAGGATCTAGTTCATGAAACTTGCTCGAACGTTAACGCCAAACAAAATATAAATACCCGCCCCCACAGCGTTTCCCTCCTCACTCGTCGGTGTTTTCTGTAAGAGCTTACCAACTTCTGAGCGTCCCTTCGTGATCCCCAATTCCTAAACGTCTCGCTGAAGGAACTTTCCTTCTTCGAGTTCGTCTGTGCGGTTGATTTTGTCGTCCCTCTCTCTCTCTCTCTACTTTCTCTCTCTAGAGCTTTTCTCTCGAGTTTCGGATTCTCGCTCTGGGAGCTAAGTTCTGGTGAGTTCTTTGATCATGGAGGTTCTGATGAATTTTGAGGAAGTTCCTTTTTAGCATTTCTTTTGCTTCTCTTCTTGATTTGTCGCTCCATATTCCTCTGATCTGATATCTGGTGGATGAATTGCGAGATTTCTGGTTGATTTCTTGTTCGATTCTTTATGTGCATGGAGAAATTTTGATTTTGTTTGTCGATTAGACTGTTCATTGTGATTTTGTGGTTTTTGATCGGAGAAAAGGCGGTGTTGTTAGCGAAGAATACTTAATTACTTGCTTCGTGGTGAAGATTTTGGAATTTTGTTGCGCTCTTCTCGAAGATTAACTCTCCAAGCGGTCTGATTTAGGTTTTCTCGTCGCGTTTCTCAGGAATCGCGACTTGGCTTTGCGTTCTAGAGCTGAAAATTTAAGTTTTAATCCTTTCAAATTTCGGTTTTTTTTTTTCTCAGTTTCTCTAGAAAATCCTCTCTTCATGAACAGGGAGAGGAAAAAGAAAAGTCGCTGTCTTTGTGTCTATTAATGCAAAGCTAGGTCCTTTTCTATGGTCGTAATCGTGAAGATTGAGCTTGTTGGAGCTCTTTTTTCTACATGAGTTTATTTCAGCCTTCTATTGAATCTGTCCTGTTACTTTATTTTCCTTTTCCCGTATCTTCGTGTAGTCCTCCTTGATCATTTTTTTTTCTTTTTACCCTTTTCTGTTTTCGACCCAAAAAATCTCAAGCTAAAGTTTTAAAGTTTATTTCAGCCTTCTATTGAATCTGTCCTGTTACTTTATTTTCCTTTTCCCGTATCTTCGTGTAGTCCTCCTTGATCATTTTTTTTTTCTTTTTACCCTTTTCTGTTTTCGACCCAAAAAATCTCAAGCTAACGTTTTAAAGCTACCAAACAGGTCACGTGGTCGACACTATCCTGTTCCCCTAATTTTTCCTCAACTTTAAGCCCTTTGGTATTTTCTCCTCTTTTAGTTTTCCTTGAAACCGTCTGATCTGTAAAATAAAAAAATTGGCAGACATAAAAGAGTTCCGTTTTGTTGGAGAAATTCTAAGGCCTTGTTCATTTCACCGATTCGAGTTTTCAGTTTTAGGTTTCTACAGTAAAAAGCTATTAGAAAATGTCACATCAACTTTTTCTACTACAGTAAAAAACTCTCAGAAAATATCACATCTCAACTCGAATTAAAAACTCGAATCTATGTTTTCAGTTTTAGGTTTCTACAGTAAAAAGCTATCAGAAAATGTCACATTAACTTTTTCTACTACAGTAAAAAACTCTCAGAAAATATCACATCTCAACTCGAATTAAAAACTCGAATCTACAAAGTGAACGAGACCTAAATAATTCCAACTAGAATAAAATAAAATAAAATAATAACAATACAATTGTCCGAAGTAATTGCGAGATATTGTTCCGATATAACACGGCACAGAGACGGCTCAAGAACGACACAGCTATGCCTTTCCTTAGCTAGACTAGACTAGATAGTGATTTTCATCTTATTAGTCTAAGGTCTCGTTCACTTTGCAGATTTGAGTTTTCAATTCGAGCTGAGATGTGATATTTTTTGAGAGCTTTTCACTGTAGCAGAAAAAGTTAAATGTGACATTTTCTGAGAGTTTATTACTGTAAAAATCTAAAACTGAAAATTTAAATCGGTGAAATGAACAAGTCTAAATATTTGAAACCCCGCCAAGTTAAATGTGACATTTTCTGAGAGTTTATTACTGTAAAAATCTAAAATTGAAAATTTAAATCGGTGAAATGAACAAGTCTAAATATTTGAAACCCCGCCATAATAATAATAATAATAATAATAATAATAATAAAAAAGTGTTTGATTAGGACACTATAATTAGTTAATCTATTTTTTTCTTTGGATTATTATTATTTTTAATTTTCCGTTCCAGTAGGTGAGAATGCTAAAAGTTACACCAGTACAGCAACCGTGGTGGATTCCCAATACATGCAAGTCAGATAGAGCACACAATCGTCCGGTTCGAATAACCTTACGCAAAGATCTTTAACTCTTAGGTCCAGATAGAAAATTCCCTTTTGACAAATTTTGTGTTCGATCCTGTTTCACTGTTGACGGTACTGATTTTTACCGGAAAAATTAGGTACCCGTCGATGATTGGCGTGGTATGTTTTTCTTTGGGTTGCAACAAAATTGTTTGAGCAAGGAGTTTCTTTCTTTGATTGGTTTTAGGATGTTTTTCTTTTCTGTTGCCTTTTTTTTTTTTTCTGGTCCAACGTTGGCCTCCTAAGGATTTTGTTAAGGCTTTTTTCAGTGCTAATTTGTTTATTGTCTTGGGACAGTTTTCAAGTGCTCAACATCAAACATGACGGTCACACCGAAAATCTCCATTAACGATGGGAACCTTGTGGTTCATGGCAAGACCATATTGACTGGAGTTCCAGACAACATTGTGCTGACACCAGGATCTGGTGTTGGTCTTGTTGCTGGGGCCTTCATTGGTGCCACAGCCTCCAACAACAAGAGTCTTCATGTCTTCCCCATCGGGGTCTTAGAGTAAGTACTCTTGCGTGATTCCTTATTAAGTAATTTAAGTACTGGTTGATATGAACTTTGATCCTTTCGTATGTCGAGTTTTTAAGTTATATCATGGTTTTTTGTGTTCTTGTGACAGGGTTCTCCGGTTCATGTGCTGTTTCCGATTCAAGTTATGGTGGATGACCCAAAGAATGGGGACATGTGGTAAGGACGTTCCTTTGGAGACCCAATTCATGCTTGTGGAAAGCAAAGATGATGCTGAAGGAGACGATGCCCCAACCATCTATACCGTCTTCCTCCCTCTGCTTGAAGGCCCCTTCCGTGCTGTTCTGCAAGGCAACGAAAAGAATGAGGTCGAAATTTGCCTCGAGAGTGGTGAGTAGATCATTGCATCAAAAAGCATTTGGCATAGGGTGTATACACCCTTCCCACCATTCCATGGTTGGGGCTGTCTTCCGTTAATTCAGTCTCCATTGCTCTGCTGGCCCATAACGAAGGAGACTTCACACATCTGGAAAGTGTGTGCAGTTTTCACCAATGCCAACACAATCAAGATGGTGATTCCACGTACAATGACTATCAATCAATGAATCACATAAATGGAGTTTACAGCACATGGAGAAGAAAAATATAAGAATATGAGGGTTTGAGTTCGAACCAACACAACTTGTTTTTTGGTGTGTGATTTGGTTTTGCAGGAGACATTGCTGTCGAGACCAATCAAGGCCTTTACCTTGTGTACATGCATGCTGGGACCAATCCATTTGAAGTTATCAACCAAGCTGTTAAGTAAGTGCCTTAATTTGATCTCAGTGCTACTATGTTGAATTTTACGGTTTTTCCTTGTGGTCTTGAATTTGAATAACGTCTTGGTGTTTGTTTGCTGCTACTAATTATGATTCTCTGTTCCCTATTCCAATGAACAGGGCTGTAGAGAAACACATGCAAACTTTTCTTCATCGTGAGAAGAAAAAGGTAAGAGTGTCAACTTTTGTTTGCTTAATAATAACTTGCATAATAAACAAATTTCTTAGTTTGTGAACGTCTCTAATTGACCTTTTCTATCGGCTGTGTTGTAGTTGCCTTCATTCCTTGACTGGTTTGGGTGGTGTACATGGGATGCTTACTACACTGATGTCACGGCTGAGGGTGTTGAGGAAGGGCTTAGAAGGTAACGAAGTGATCGAATGACCTTTTGTTTTAAATGAACTGTAGGATGTCATACACAAACTCATCATATCTGGAATTATTACAGCTTATCAGAGGGAGGAACGCCTCCACGGTTCTTGATCATAGATGATGGTTGGCAACAGATTGAAGATAAACCCAAGGATGACAATGCTATTGTACAAGAAGGAGCACAGTAAGTTTCTCACATCTTGTTCCTCATGTACTTGTGTACATAAGCATGATTCAAATTTTGTTGTTTGATCTGCCTATCATTTAGTAATTGTAAATTTATGGCTAGACAGGTTTGCAAGTAGGCTGACGGGTATAAAAGAGAATTCAAAATTCCAAAAGAATGGACAGAACAACGAACAGGTTTCGGGCCTGAAGCATGTTGTAGATGAAGCCAAGCAACATCACAATGTGAAGTAAGTAGTTGATTTGTTATTTTTACCTTGGATTCTATTGCTTGTGTTATTGTTACTCTGAATGGCTCTGCTCGGGCCACCCATTAAAGCTGCTGATTTCTTTAACTATATGGGGAAGTTGTTCATCGACCTTGTTTTTTATACGAGTCATCTCTATGATAACTATTAAATATGTTCGTGTACGATATTCTTCTAATGTTACTGTCTGTTACAGATTTGTGTATGTTTGGCATGCTCTAGCTGGATACTGGGGTGGAGTTAATCCAAAAGCTGCTGGTATGGAGCACTATGATCCTGCTTTGGCATATCCTGTTTCATCCCCTGGTGTTTTGGGAAACCAACCGGACATTGTCATGGACAGTCTGGCTGTCCATGGCCTTGGTCTGGTACATCCTAAGAAAGTTTTCAACTTCTACAACGAGCTTCATTCGTACTTGGCCACATGCGGAGTTGATGGGGTAAAAGTCGACGTGCAGAACATCATTGAGACACTCGGTGCTGGTCATGGTGGTAGAGTCTCTCTTACCCGCAGCTACATCCAGGCTCTTGAGGCTTCAATTGCTCGAAACTTTCCGGACAACGGATGCATCGCTTGCATGTGTCACAACACAGACGGGCTCTATAGTGCCAAGCAGACTGCTGTTGTGAGAGCTTCTGATGACTTTTTTCCTCGGGATCCCGCTTCTCACACAATCCATATTTCATCTGTAGCTTACAACACCCTTTTCCTTGGGGAGTTTATGCAACCTGACTGGGATATGTTCCATGTAAGTGGATGAAAAGCTGTTATAGCTTTACTATGAAACTTGTTAGCTTCTACTGTTTTATATGGCAGATGATATTCATGGGGAGTATTTTTCTTTGCAGAGTTTACACCCAGCAGCAGATTATCATGGTGCAGCCCGCGCGGTTGGTGGATGTCCTATCTATGTCAGGCATGGATCTAAGTTCTAATTTTCTCTTGAGCCTGTGCATTGAAACGTCATTCTTAATGATATTCTGTGCAATTGTTTTTCTAGTGATAAGCCAGGAAACCACAACTTTGATCTCCTGAAGAAGCTCATCCTTCCTGATGGATCCGTTCTCCGTGCACAATTACCAGGGAGGCCAACCCGTGACTGTCTCTTTGCTGATCCGGCTAGAGATGGCACAAGGTTTTCTTTCTTTTCCATTATTTCTTTCCAAGCATGGCCCCAGTTCTATGAGAAAAATTTGCTAAGATTGCTCTTTTTGCAGTTTGCTCAAGGTATGGAACGTGAACAAGTGCTCAGGTGTCATTGGTGTTTTTAACTGCCAAGGTGCAGGTTGGTGCAAGGTCACCAAGAAGACCCGAATCCACGATGAATCCCCCGGTACCCTTACTGGTTCCGTTTGTGCTACTGATGTTGATGCGATAGCTCAAGTTGCCGCTGCTGATTGGAATGGAGAAACAATAGTTTATGCCCATAAATCAGGTAGTGGAATTAGTAACCATTTTTTCTTTAATTTATCGTGAAAGATCAACTATAGCTTTTAGTCTTCAGTTCACATAAGGCTATTCTTTATCTTTCACGTCTAGACATTGTTCCCGTTGTACTTTTTGAGTTCTAACATATGAAACCAACTATTTGATTGGTAGGTGAGGTGGTGCGGTTACCTAAAGGAGCTTCAGTTCCTGTTACGCTTAAAGTTCTTGAGTACGAGCTCTTCCATTTCTGCCCTCTCAAGGTGAGTTTTTCCGAAGACCATTTTCTTCCTCTTTTGAGTCTATCACTTCCTATTACGCACTGGCTGTTTACCTAATGACATGATTTTCTATGGTGCAGGAGATAACATCCAACATCTCATTTGCTCCGATAGGTCTCCTTGACATGTTTAACTCCACTGGTGCTGTGGAGCAGTTTGATATCCACACTGCTTCCGACAAGAAACCGGATCTCTTTGATGGTGAAGTTTCCTCCGAGCTGACCACGTCTCTCAGCGACAACAGATCTCCGACGGCCACAATTTCTCTCAAAGTCAGGGGCTGTGGACGCTTCGGGGCTTACTCTTCCCAGCGCCCGCTGCAATGCACTGTGGACAATGCTGAAAGCAACTTCATCTATGACTCCGCCACTGGATTAATGACCCTTGCCATCCCAGTCCCACAAGAGGAGATGTACAGATGGCATGTGGAAATCCAAGTTTGAGTGAAGATCTAATATAATCTAAATAATATCAAAATAATCTCATCATTGGATTGTTAGTTGGTCTTGGGAAAGGTTAGGGATGGGGTTAATACATGGATGTAAAGGTCTCATTGTTGGGGATAGAGAGAGAGACCTTAATGGGGAGTGACATGTTCTGGTTAACGTTGTTGTTATCGAGTCATTATGTGAAATAAAAATGTCTATCTTTTGAGTATTATGTAACTCTTTTTGTTGTGTTGAATCACTGCATTAATGAAATCTTCTCATGCTCATCTTTTTATCACTTCTTTAACCTCCAAAAATCTTGATCTCTTCAACCGATTTTATACAGAACTTGTGAGTTTCATGACAGCAATACTCCAAAAGCCTAAATATGGTTTGAAAAAGAGTTGGCTTTACCTATACATTACCAATGATCCTTGCAAGTACAAGAGCCATTAACAAATTTATGGAACCAAACTCTGTCCCTGACAATAATTTCCCGCTCATAAATCTTACTTATAATCTTGGTCACTTCATGGCAATCACCACAAATCCTAATACTATTCACTACTCTGATAACGGCCGGTGCTTTTGTCTTCCATAACCCATAAGCAATGGCTAGCCTCACACTGTGCTCACCATGAGCATTCTCTTTTTCTTCATTGATCACTTGGTGTAGTATCTCTACAATAGATGGTTTATATCCGACTCCCCGAATCCTATCAGAAATATCTCTCAGAACTTCTCTCAATTCCTTAGCCTCGGGATGGGAGCGATCACCCATCGTGAATTCGTGAATGATGCCATTTACCTCTATGGAGCTGCAGGCAGGGATAGGTCTGATTCTCTTCTCTTTCATCTTCGCTCTAACAAGCATCATCTTCTCCCATTGCGAGACTGATGCGTACAAACTTGAGAGAAGGACATAGTTCTCTGCATTTAGTGGCTCTAATTCAAGAAGCCGCTCGGCAATAAGTTCGCCTCTTTCAAGCATCCTGCTTTTATTGCAACCCATGAGCAATTTTCGCCAAATAACTGGATTTGGTGAGATTGCCATGTTTTGAACGAGAGTATGAGCTTCTTCTACCAAGCCTGCTCGACATAGTAGATCGACCATACAACCATAGTGCTCCGTGGATGGTTTGGTTCCAAATCCAAGCATGCGTGACCAAAACCTTCGACCCTCTGAAACCAAGCTGCTCTGCCCACAAGTGAATAGGACGCCGAGGAAGGTTCCGCTGTCAGGCTTCACCTAAAGATATATCACCGAGATCATTGAGATTGAAGAAAATAAATTTCTGACCTACTAAAGCAAAAGTACGCATTTAAAAGTGTCAACAAACATGTTTTTAGTTAGTCGATACAGACTGAATGGTGCATGATAAATTTACAAGTGATAAAAGCCGAAAAAAAATTGGTTTCATATTCAATCATCTAGTTCCCTTAGCTTCCTCCATCATAGAAAAAGCCTTCAGAGCTTCTTACGAAAGGCCATGAAGAGCCAACCCCACAATCATTGAATTCCAAGCTCGATAAATTTACAAGTGATAAAAGCCGAAAAAAAAATTGGTTTCATATTCAATCATCTAGTTACCTTAGCTTCCTCCATCATAGAAAAAGCCTTCAGAGCTTCTTCTGAAAGGCCATGAAGAGCCAACCCCACAATCATTGAATTCCAAGCTTTTGTATCTTTCACAGACAATTTCCTGAAAATTGCTTTTGCCTTTTCAATCCACCCGCACTTTGCATACATGTTAATCAGCGCAGTACCAAGCTCGAGATCAATCTCGATCTTCTTCTTCTCTGCATACACATGAACCCACCTACCCAAGTACAACGAACCTGCACAAGTGCACGCAGAAACGATACTCGCCATTGTAACCTGATCGGGCACAACACCAGCCATTTGCATTTCCCTGAACAGGCCAAAACTCGCGTCAACCAATCCAACTCTCGCGTACCCGCCAATCATCGCACTCCAAGCAACCAAGTTTCTCTCTGGAATTTCATCGAACACCAACCGAGCATCCCAGACCTCCTCGCATTTCGCATACATGTTCACCAACGAAGTCTGAACAAACGGGCTTGAACCAAACCCCGACCGCAAAACACGCGTATGAACCTGCCAGCCTTCATGAGAAGCCGATAGAATCGAACACGCCTTAAGAACAAACGACAGAGTAAACGTATTCGGTCCCGGGTACCCCTTACGAATCAATTTCTTGAACAAATAAATGGATTCCTTTGATGGGTTTTCGACATTGGAACAACCCCTTATCATGGCATTCCAGCAGAAAATGTTTGGACAGGGGATTCGAGAGAAAACTCTGCGGGCGTAGGCGATGTCACCGACGGCGGACAGGGCGCAGAAAGCGGCGATTTTGGACAAGGCGAAAGAGAGAGCGGAGATGGGAAGGAAGCGAGTGAGGACATGGGCGTGGATTTGTCGAAGGACTCGCATGTTTGGACATTTTTCAATCAGAGAAGCGATTCGTTGTTCTTCTTCCAGCTCCTCTTGTTCGTCTCCTTTGCTCTGGGCTATAGCTAGAGCCTAGAAGAAAAGATAGGTTTTTGTTTTTTAGGTTTTCGAGTATTGTTTGGAAAGCAAATTCCCCGCCAAAATAATTTTTTTTGGCAAAGTAACTTCAAACGGAAGCTTTATTTGATCTCTACACTATTTATACTTGTACCTTGGAGGCGGAGCCCTAACCATATATAAGAGCTATCTCTAGACTATGATTAGAGCTGTAAGTTTGGGTCGGACTAGATATGTCGATTTAAGACCCGTCATTATTAATTTCAGTTCGGTTTAACTTAGTCTTAAATTTTTTAGGTTTAAGGCTGTGCCGAGCTGATCTTTTCTCATTTAGCCTAACCTAAACATCACATTTTTAAATATTTTTTGAAACATACCTTATAAAATTATGGGCCAATGCTAAATTTTTTGGACTTAGAGTTAGGTTGGGCCGACCCTCTCTCTTTTAGAGTTGGACATTTTTTGTTGAACTGCTGGCCCGGGCCGGGCGGCCCAAACTACTTCTAACTCTAATGGACCAACTTATTGGTGTCTAATGTTATTTTTGGTGTTAAATTTGACACCATATATATCAGTGATATTTTCTCCTTCTCTCCTTTGTTTTTCTCTTTATTATACAAATTTAAGAAGGATTTTTGCGACATTAAAATTTATAGTTGTTTGAGTAACACCTACACAACATAAGTATTTAGATCACTTCAATTGTGGTTAGATATTTGATATGTATGCCAAAGATCGAGCTAGCATATGAATGAATAAGTAAAGTGAAACATCGAAATTTATAATGGTTCACTTTTCACTTTTATTGTGAGAGTTACATTTATTATGGTGTTTGGATTTACAATATATAGAGAGAAAACATTACAAGGAAAGCAGTAAAGCTTGAGAGAGATATAGGGTGGGTTTGGTATTGCTTTTAAGAGAGAAAAAACACTTATTGAGAGATCTAAAATCTAAAAATTTGTTTGGTAAAACAGATTTTTAAACAATTTTCTCCTAATATGAAGCTAAAAACAAAATAAGCCTTTAGGCTGATTCTGATTTCAGCTCATGCGGGAATCAGTTTTGAGAGTTTAATGAAATTTTTTATTTCTAATTTTACCCCACTAAAATCTGAAATTTACCACTAATTTTCATTTCAGATCTCTCCTCCACTCGTATTTCTCATCCTCCTCTGCGAAATTTTTTTTGAGAGTTCTATCCTCTCTCCTCCTCGCCGTTCGAAGCGAGGTTCCCCGGCTCCGTTCACCGGCCTCTCTCTCCGTTCGCCGGTTGAACTCTCCGTTGGCCTCTCAGAGCTCGTTTGGTTTCTCCTCCGCCCGATTGTCCGTTTGCCGGTCTCCCATCTCCTCCTCCGACTGTCGGGACAGAATCAGATTCTACCATTGGTGGTGACACTGATGGCAAAAGTCTTCCTTCTTCTACCTAGCAGGGAATAAGAACAAGTCCTCGACCCCTGACCGTTGGATGAAGTTCTTAAAATCCAACGGCAATGGAATCCTGCCCAGATCTGACGATGACAAACAAGGGCGGGAAAAGGAAGAGTCGCGATCCGAAGGCTCACATTCATCATTTCGAAATAAAACCTCACGTCAACACAAGAAATCGACCGACGCGACAGTTGCGTCCCTCAAGGAAATCCGAAGCATCTAGGCCATCATTGCGGACGAAGGCTCGGGACCGGTTTCCCACACCCGAAGCACAGAAGTACGACCAAACCTAAGCTCGAGGCCGCCTAAAAGGCTCGACCTGGGGGGTAGCTGTTGTGTGAGAAAATGTGAAGGACATGTGGAAGAACGATAATATGACACGTAGCCTTAACTACTCCCCGCAAAGCAACAACCCTCAACGCCTGGGGCTCCCTCCGATTCCGTTATAAAGAACCTAAGTGAAGTCCAACTTAGGACGTCGATTCCTTCTGGTGTCGACAGATCGAACCGTCAACCTTAGGACATAGAAATCCCTCGACGGTGGAACCAACAGCCAAGAAGGACAGTTGGGTTAAGCAACACTGGCGACGAGCGGAATGCTCTTTGGAGAAAGGTCTGACGTGGCAAATTACGTATAAAAGTGGGGGATGACTGCAAGGCAGGCATTTATTGTGAACCCTTAAACCGCCCCACAGGGGACAGAAAAGGGTTACAGGAACACACAGAGCCGTAATATAAGACTAATTGGCTGAGTGAATAGTACTCCAAGTGATTAGTGGGCTACGACTAGGCCTAAAAAGGGAGAGCACTTGAGTGCTTCTACCTACGAAGAAAATCAACCCAGCGAAGGAAGCTCCCAATATAAAAAGGGCAAGACTCCATACAGGAAAGGGGTTGAGATCTAAGAGAAAAAAGAACGAGAAAGAACAATTGATGTAAATTGTAATCCCCTCAAAAGAAATATACAACCACAGTGGATGTAGCTCTGATTTTATAGAGTGAACCACCATAAAATCCCTTGTGTTCTTTATTTGTGCATATCTTTTTATTAACGCACAATACATCCCTCCAACAAATTCTCACAAACATTCAACACTAAGGCCGGTAATCCAACGGGAAACCCAGAGGTAACCCGGCCTATTTTTGTTGACGAGAAATCACCGTCAACACTAACGGTGGCCGATAGATTGGCTATAGTTTGTTTTCCTCCTTTGTGATCCAAGCTCAAGATCTTGTCAGGAAAATTTCGCCTAGATCTAGTGTCATTTGTCTTTTAAATGCTGTAGCACGTTATCAGCTTTGGTAACTCCTTTTCTAGCATTTAGCACGTTATCAGCTTCCAATTGTCGTAAATGCTGTGAATTCATTTATTTATTTATCTTTTCACTTTGTGTTCCCTTATATGAGCTTATTCCAATATAGTCTTGTGACCCTTAAACTAATGTTTGGATTAATTAGCGTAAAGAGAAGGGTTAGTGCTTGGAGTGCTATTAGTTAATAAGCAAGGTGCTTGGAGTGCTACCTTGACTGTCTATTTAAGTGTATTTCCGCTAATATTGTAGATTATTTTCTTTCAAATCTGCTTTCACTTATATGTTGCCTAATGGTGGTAGCTTATTTAGTTCTTTGGATAAAGGTCATTGCGGTGGTGGAGAGTACCAAGCCATGTCTCTTTTTCACGAGAATTGTAAGAAAGTTGTATGTTCAACTTCAAGGAGAGATCGTTTCATGCTAGGAGACGTGGGAGAAAAATTCTAGTGAATAAGATTGTCCCATAACTCTAGAGTTCAGTTTATTCTTGAATTTGATACTACGTTGGAGGACAATGTAGAAGCAGATGAAGCTTCACTATCAAATTGCGACAAGTTTAATGAACACGATTTAATTCTTTTAATGACTGTCAGTTTTTTGAACATGAAGTGTACTTTTTTGTTCAACAAATTGATTACTCACTAATGCTCTTTTTAGTTGTAACTATATTGTGAATGAAGATATGAAAAAAAAGAATTAATTATCATAAATTTATTGTTAAAAAATTTAAAATCATAGCATTATATTTTTTTTAAGTTAAATAAATATTTCTAAATGCCAAAAATAATTAATATACTTAAGTTACATACTATGTCTATTTTGGTCATTTTACATATCCACAGCAATTCAACATCAAAATTTACCAAACGTTATTACACTGATTTTAGAACCAGTACAACTATTATAATTACAGTTTACCAAACACTCAGCTGCTTCTTGTAACAGCTGCTTCTTCCTTCAGCACAACTAAAAGCAATTTTTCTAAAATTCACAGCAATACCAAACTAAGCCATAATAGAGGATAAGGAGATAGTAAGGTAGCTAAGGACACATGTTTTATATTTAATTTGGAGCATGTTGGAATGTCCCAAATGCTGAAGGGAAGCCTCCTTTTATAGCTACCACCTCTAGTTTCCTGATTGCAGTTAGTTTACTTTTTCTTAAATTAGACTAAACTTTTCTGATCTCATGTTTAATTTGTTAATTTTCATTGTATAATTTGAATCTTTGATGCTCTGGACTTTCTTAATTGTGATTTGGGTAAGTGCCTAAAATCTCAGAATAAAAAATTTATGGGAATATTTGATTGAACAGTCGACTCCTATGTTATGCCTTGCAGTAGTAATTAACTCCAAGTTGGGTTGTTCTTGCATTCGAGTCGTTTCCTAACCATCTATAGTAGTTGAATCCTTGAAAACGGTCTCTTGGGTTATCAATAAATACATTTCATATTCTCTCAAATACTTACGTTGCACGGAAGGCTGATTTTACCAAACAAAATTCAAATATATATAATTGACAATTCGGTTCATATAATTTAAAAGGCAATTCAACTTAACGTAAACTTCTTAATTTTATTTAAGACGCTAACTATTCATAATGGATGTGAGACCACAAAACAATATGGATGGTTTTGTTCATCTTGGCTCAAATACTAAAATCTTGAATCAAATTTACATAAGTTGATAATGAATATTTGAATAGTAACAACGTTTTGTTAATTGATCATTTTAACACTTGCAGAATAAGAGTCGATCGGGCATGATATGTGACTTTTGTCATACACTAATATATAGATTGATTAAACACATACTCAAAGTATGAAAATTTGAAATAATTGATGGGGACGAGCATAACATAATCATGAACAATTTGACTAGAAACAATCAAGTAGTGTTATTTGAAAGTATACAATGTGCCAGCAAAACAAAGAAAAAAAGAATGAAATGTACTTGGGGAGTTGCTAACTTAAAGGTAGCGTAAACTGAATTAATGGTACATGGAATAATCATTAACATTGCTTAACTAGTATGGGAATTATCATGTGTGTGTTAGATTCATACACACACATATGAGAACATCTAAAAATATCCTCTAAGTTTTACCTAAATACAACATTTATTCTTGGGTTTTTTAAAATTCAAAAAGTATCTATGTGTTTTTTAAACAAAGAAAAAAAGTATCCATTATTTTAACTTTTATGGTTTAATTTATTAAAATGACTAAATTGTTCTTATATTATTATTTAAACAGAAACTGAGATAATGAAGTCCA